TTCAGGGTTTAGGGTTAGGGCTTTGGGTTTAGGGTTTAGGGTTAGGGCTTACAGCTTAGGGTTTAGGGTTAGGGCTCAGGGTTTAGGGCAAAGATCATAATGTGCGTCTAGTCTTTGTGGGGGGTAAAAAGAGGGGCCTTAATAGGGTAGTTCCCTAAATTAGGGTCCCGTTTGGGGTCCCGAATATAGTACGGCACCCTTATGACAAGGAGCCTACAAGCAACCCCTAATTTGGAGAGCTACCCAATAATAAGATGGGGTTTGGGGTATATTATATTATGATTATAATAAGGAACTCCCTTGATAATTACCTATACATTTTGGGAGTTCCTTTTTATGATTGTAGTATAACATACCGCAAAACCTTTTTTCTAACTACTAAGGCACCTACATTAGAGAGCCCAAAACTCTTTCTTTGAAGGACGAAAGACATTTTGATGTGCGCATGCTTCTACAGGGGTTAACCAAGGTTTTGCACGGGATTTCATGGTTTTCGTAGGCCTGTCATGTGGTGTGTACAAGCATAGTGGGTTGCAATGACTCAGCGTCGATTTGGGACCATGGGTTTCTTGAAACCCTAAACCCTAAACGTTAAGATGCTTCCAGAACCTACCATATTCCCATAGTTTAGGGTCCTTGAAGGAATGCAGGATTTATATCATCAGCAATAGGACCAGGGCTTCGTTATCTGGTTGCGGCATTAGGGTTTGGGCTTTAGTATTTCAGGGTGCCTAAATGGGAGCCTTAGTTTTGAACTACCCCTCAGCTGGTTTCGGTTGCCAGGTCTCCTTCTGTGGAGATGGGGCTTCCTAGGTTTAGATTTCTGCAGAGGACAGCTGGGAATAAGCAGAATCAGCAGACACCGACAAACCCAATCAGAATGGCACAAGCACACGTAGGGGGCGAGAGCCCTCACCCAACGTTTCAGTTCGATGCCCCGAGCCTTCAAGCAAATCGGGGAATTCAAGAAACCCGCGACCTAAACCCTCAACCCGAAAACCTAAACCCTGAACCCTAAAACCATGTGAGGTCGAAAACTCGGGCATCGCCCAGGGTTCGTTTCTGAAGCGGCAGAAGGTCATGCGCGAGGCTGCATGCGGCGTGCTGTGTTAATGTAGGGGCCTAAATAATTACCAATATTATTCGTCAGGTTTCTTTATTATAAGTATACTATCATGGAGCCCCAAACCCTATTCTACCTATTAAGGCCCCCATATTATGGGGAGCGGGGAGGGCGGGTTCAGGAGTCAGTCCCAGGACCCCTAAACTTAAACCCTGAATCTCTCCAAACACCGGAAGTTTATGAGCCCAAACCAGAGTCTAGAGGTTCTGGTATTTGAAGCTTGTGCTTCGAAGGTTTGCATGAACGTAGCCCCTGGATGAGCCACGCGCTTGCCTCTAGGGGATTAGTTTACTTTCCGCAAAACCTTGAACGCCTTGTTTGAAAGCTTCATGAACCCTCTGCAGAATCAGTATAATGAATCTCTCAGACGGCTAGTGCATCCCCGTGAAAGCCTAATAAAGCTTACACAGTCAAAACCCTAAACCCTAAACCCGAAACCCTAAACCCTAAACCCAACATGTAACCCTCCGGTTTTTTGGGTTAAGGTTGCTGGGTGCAGCGCTGTTCACATGATTGGGGGCAACTCCT